TACACACACACACACACACACACACACACACACACACACACACACACACACACACACACACACACACACACACACAGGCACGCAAAATAAATACACACACGCACACACACAAACACACACCCACACACAAGCAAACTAGCACACCCACACACACAAGCAAACTAGCACACACAGGCACAAAAAACAAACACACCCACACCCACACACACGTCCAATTCGTACAAGGGCCTCTGATCTGCAGCGCTCAAAGTTCTGGTTGAACTCCTCCTTGTTGCGGGCAATGCGGATACCGCGACCACCACCGCCCATGGCAGCCTTGATGATCACGGGGTAGCCAAAACCTTCAGGACCTGAGGTGTGGGCAGTGGTGTGGTGGCGTGTGGTGTGAGCGACTGCTTTGATTGTCTCACATTGTTGGGATGCTTTGCTGCCTTTTGTCAACACCTGCGAGCTGGCGGGGCACAGCATACAGAGAGCATACAATCTCGCAGGATCACACACATGCGCATGCACGCACACAGTGACAAGTCAGCTGTCGATTCGCAACACTTGCACAGGTGCGCACCTTCGAGAAAAGCGTGTGCGTCCTCGAGCGAGTTGAGGGGCGGGCTGCCACCGACGACGGGAAGACCGGCATTGATTGCGGCCGCGCGCGCCTGCGTCTTGTCGCCAAGTGCCTGCAGCTGCTTGGAGGTGGGGCCAACGAAGCGGATACCAGCGTGCTCGCAAGCCGTGGCAAGGTGCACGCTCTCAGACAGAAAACCATAACCGGGGTGGATTGCATCAACCTGGTTTCAGTGAGTGAGTGAGCGAGTGAGTGTATGCGTGAGTGCGTGAGTGAGTGAGTGTATGCGTGAGTGAGTGTATGCGTGAGTGAGTGAGTGAGTGAGTGAGGGAGTGAGTGAGCGAGTGTATGCGTGTGTAGTTGGTTGTCACTGGCGTTTAGATTGAGGGCATGTATGGCACTTGGCTTCAGACGCGTTGTTTGTGGCAAACACACAGACACAGACACAGACACAGACACACACCTTTTGCTCTTTGGCGATGCGGACAACGTCGTCGACAGCGAGGTAGGCGGCAACGGGGCCCTTGTCGGGGCTCAACATGTACGATTCATCAGCCTTGTAACGGTGAACAGATCTGAGCGTGTGTGTGTGTGTGGGGGGGGGGGGAGGTGGGAAGGACGGTGGCTTGAGTACGGGCAGACAGACCGATCGACATGCAGACAGACATACACAGACAAGATAGACAGACAGGCAGACACACCAACAGAGACACACTGACAGACAGACACATACACAGACACGCCCACGCCCACGCCCACGCCCACGCCCACGCCCACACCCGCACAGACCCCCCCCCCCCAAACACCCACCGGATGTCTTCCTTGCTGTAGATGGCGACAGTCTCCATGTTCAGCTCCGTGGCGGCGCGGAAGATGCGGATGGCAATCTCACCGCGGTTGGCCGCCATCACGCGGCGAATGGCACCAGTGGCTAGCCGCAACAAACATGCAGCATCCATCACACACATAGTAGTACCACCGTGTCATCGTGCGTGAGATACACGAGGGATAACCAATGCACGCGCGCATGCGAACGTGAACAGGCAACAGAGCAGGAACCAACCCGCTCAAGCATCGTGAAGCGCGCGCGAGAGAGATTGAGAGATCGAGAGAGACAGATCGAACAACGGACCGATCATCCAGACACACACACACACACACACACACACACACACACACACACCTCACACACACACACACACACACACACACACACACACACACACACACACACACACACACACACACACACATAGCACTGACCAAGTCCCGTCATGGTGACGATCGCTGTGCGCACTGGATGCTGGGTACTGTGTGGCTGTCACTCCGCTCTCTTCTCCTACGCTCTTGATCGCTTGGCCTGGTTTGGTTTGGTTTCTTGATCTCTCCTCGTTCACAGTGGCAACGACGGAGAGGTGCGACGGTTGAATGACGAGACCAGAAGCAACAATGCATACAGGCATTGCTCACTCAAATCCCACAACGTCCGCTGCACTCTTGCTTGCAAATGTCAGCAAAAACCACACAAACAACTGAATTGCGTCATGTCTCATCAAACGCAGAAACGAAGAAAGAAAAGGCACACGCAATCATGTGTATTGCATTGAAGACCTTCAAGCACCGCATGTCCAGAACGCAACACATCGACTCACATCAGTCGCTGGCAGTGGCAGTTTGTGGAGGTGTGGCGGGTTCAAGTGTGACATGGACGGGGCTTGTTGTTGGTGGCATGCTTGTGTCACTTGCAGTAGCGTCGTCGTCGTTGCTCTCGTGTTTGCAGAGGGTCCATGCCTTTGATGAGAGGCGAATCGGGTGAGGGACAGGGTCTCGGTTGAACAGCAGCGGTGTCGGTGACCCAAGCCGTCGCCCAAGGCACCACGACTGCGTCGGTGCATGATAATACAAAAACACGTCATCCCCATCCTCTCCCTCATCCTCTCCCCCTTCTTCATCCCCGTCCTCGTGTGCCTGTGTGGCTCCTTCACCACCATCAGCATCAGCGGTTTCTGCACGCTCATCATTCTTGGCTTCATCGCTCCTCGCTGTTTCCTCCTCTGCTGCTTGTTCGTCCTCCGTGATGGTCGTGTCGGCATCGGCGTGGTCTTCGCCGCCGCCACCACCACCACCACCACCATCACCATCACCATTACCATCAGCCCTGGCGCTGTTGTCACCACCGAGGGCTCCAGTTGGCACCACGAACCCATCACCGGCACCCTCTTTACTGCTGCTGTCCGTGGTGGTGGTGGTGGTGTCCGTGGTGGTGTCCGTGGTGGTGTCCGTGGCAGTTGCTGTGCGGTCGGCGCGGCGAAGTTTGAATACGGGGAACGACACCGGGTCCCCCACCACTGTCACCATCTCGCCCATCAACTGGCCCTTCTGTGCCGTTGGAAAGCCACACCAGCACACGTGCGCAGGGTGTACAACGGAGTGAAACTTGGTGCCAGGCAAATGAATGACACAGAACCCGTACACGCGCGTGCACACGCACACATTCACACACACACACACATTTGCATACGCACATTCGCACACACTTGCAAACACACCCTGTCGTATGTCCCTTCAAGATCCGAGAGGTGTGGTGGGAGCCCGGAGATTTGTATTGCTGTTGTGCCAAGTGCACAGCGTGGCATGCAACCGTGAGAGATACACAACACGAACACGCACACACACACACACACACACACACACACACAGACACACACACACGCACGCACACACACACACGACACACACACACACACACACACACACACACACACACACACACACAAGCGCGAACGCACTGACCGTCTGGGTTTTGAAAGTCCTCTGCTCTCTGCAGCAACGCTTGCAACGCCTCGCTTCGAGATTCCTGTGCGCAGATGAGGGGGAGGAGGGTTGGTGATCAGTAGGGAAGAAGGCAGCGAGGTCTGATACGGATGCTGAACATACTCATCAAGATGTCTGGTTTAGATGCTAACGTTAGACTCTCTTGCACACGCACACACAAGCGCGAACGCACTGTCCGTCTGAGTTTTGAAAGTCTTCTGTTCTCTGCAGCAACGCTTGCAACGCCTCGCTTCGAGATTCCTGTGCGCAGATGAGGGGGAGGAGGGTTGGTGATCAGTAGGGAAGAAGGCAGCGAGGTCTGATACGGATGCTGATGCTGCAATCGTACATATCATGACGATACATTCACACACACACACACACACAGACACACGCACACGCAGGCACACACACACACACACACACACACACACACACACACACACACACACACACACAGACCGACCGACAGATAGACAGACACACATATACACAGACCTGTGCTGGGGCTTTGCCAGCTGTGTTGTTGACGGCTGGGTCGGCGCCTGCGCGAAGAAGCATTTCAACCGCATTGCGGTGGCCCCAGCGACACGCAGCGTGCAGAGGGGTGTTGCCCTTCTCATCAAGCGCATTCACGTCCGCGCCGGCATCAAGCAGGATGCGCACACACGCCGTGTGCCCGTTTGTCGCTGCGAGGTGCAGCGGTGTTGCGCCTGCTTCGCCTCGGTGCACGTTGGCATTCATGCCTGCATGCAACAGCAGGCCCGCAATCTCGCGGTGGTCGTACTGGCAGGCAAAGTGCAGTGCACTGAGGCCGTTGTTGACGCGGGCGTCCACGGCGGCGCCATAGTCGAGCAGCGCTCGCACCACCGCCGTCTGCCCGTAGCGCGCAGCCACCAGAAGCGGCGTGAAGCCCTGCAGTAGTGGTTTGCAAGATGGGCGTGTGTGCATGAACGAAAAGCATGGTGGGTTGGTGTCAGTGAGCACGAGAATTGAGCGTATCCGCGGCGTGAATGAGCCCGTGTCAGGCACATTATTCCACAAACGCGAGCAGGCAATTAATTGCACATGAAACACACACACACACACAAGATACAGAAAATGCTGCGACGCACGTCTGTGTTCTGGCTGTTGATGGTGATGTGGGAGCCGGGCGGTGCGCGGATCATGCGCGAACAACGCTCACACTGGAGATGGTGGCAACAACGGCGCTGAGGGTGAGGTTGAAAGCACTCATTTTCACACACACACACACACACACACACACACACACACACACACACACACACACACACACACCTGACAGAGCGGGTGGCACTTGTCCTGGGCATAAGGGTTGTGCTCGTCTGGGCCGAGACGAAGGCGGTATTTGACCAGTTCAACCTCGCCCTCCTCAATCGCCTCAAAGACAAGATCCAGCCACCGCTCTTTGTCGTCCGCTAACAAGTGCTCCATGGACGCGTGCATGGAGTTGGTGCGACTAAGTGGCTGTCCACTCACAAACACACCACCACCTCCACCTCCTCCACCACCGTTGCCACCGCTGCCAGTGCTGCCGTGTTCGCTGCTGCCGCTGTGCCGCCGTGAGCCGGAGCCTCGACCAGGCCTCGCTCGAGACAGCAATCCACCACCGCCACCATCTGTACCGCCACCGCCGCCGCTGCTGGTGGTGGTGCCAGTGTTGCTGCTCCTCATCCACCTCACGTCGCTCGCATCGTCCTCAAACGTGTCAGACTGCGCGCCAGCATCAGCCCCTTCCTCGTCTTCCTCATCGCGGTGCACGGACACACGCGCGCTCCCACCAGATATGGTTGACGCTGTTGATATCGACGCCGTCGTCGTCGTCGTCGTCGTTGTCGTCGTTGCTGTGGGCACTCCCCGGCCACCGCTGTCGCTGCCACTACCACGAGTCCTCACTCGTCCCTGCTGCCCCTGCTGGTGCTGGTGGCGTGTGCGCGTGCGCGTGCGTGGTGCTGCAGCAGGGCTGGCGAGGGGTGGGCCCGTGGCCACGGTCGGCGTCGATGCACCGCGGTGCCGATCAAGCAGCCGTCGAACACCCTGAGATGGGCGGTTGGGAGGGTGGGGTTGTTGTTGTTGTACAAGAAAGGGTTGACATGGGGTGTGGTGAGGGGTGGTGAAGGGACGGTGTGGACATGGGGAAGAAGAGGGGGGGGGGGTTAGCAAGGGCGTCAACAGCCGCGATCGAGTGATGCGGTGGGCGTGACGGGTGGTTGCAGCACCAGCGGTGAGAGAGGGGGGGGGGGGGAGTCCTGCGCATACAGAACCACGAGTGCATGGGAGCAGCATACGACCATGAAGGAGGCTGCAGACCAGATTCTGGCGCACCTTTGAGTGGGCCATGTTGATGGGAGCCCTGCCCTGGCGGTCGAGCGTGTTTACATCCGCAGAGAATTGCAGCAGCAGCGCAGCGAGCTCCTCATATCCCCAGTGTGCAGCCATGTGCAGCGGTGTGTCCCCGACGCTGTTGCGCGCATTCAACCGCGGGTTGCTGCTCATCACAAGCGCCTGCACAACGGTGATGACGACGACGACGACGACGACGACGACGACGATGATGATGATGATGATGGTGGTGGTGGTGGTGGTAAAGGAAAGGTAGGAAGGATACGAGCGAGGTGCATGACACTGCCTGTGCAAACACACACACACACACACACACACACACACACACACACACACACACACCCTCTCTCGCTCTTTCTGGCACATTTGTTCACATTCTTGACGTGATGCCAAACCAACCTTTGCTGTCTGGACGTGGCCTCTGTCTGCGCAGATGTGGAGCGGAGTGTTGCCCTGGCGGTCTGGCGGTGAACATCATGCACACAGAACGTACGGCGCAGGTGAGATGGGGCGGAGGATGCAAAGATGAAGGCGTGCACACGCATATGGGGGCGAGGAAGTATACGCACACATACATACACACACACACACTCACGTACACAAACAAAAATTAACACACGATCGCAAACAACGCACACACACACACACACATACACACACACACACACACACACACAAACACACACACACACACACAAACACAAACACAAACACAAACTAATCAACAAACACAAAACAAACAAGGCAAACAGACGGTCACGGGCAGGACGGACCTGTGAGGTTGACGCTCGCTGTTTCCAGGAGGAGGAGAGCAGCCGTTGTCTTGTTGCGCGCACACGCCTGTCGTTGCAGCAGATATGCGAGGTCGCAACGGCGATGGTGGTTACGTTATGATGGCAGCGGCAGCGGTTGTGATCATGTCACTTGCGTGTGCAACGCATTCAGGGTAATCCACCACATCACAGAGAGGGCGTTGCGATCAAAACTCACAAAGTGGAGGGGGGTTGCGTTCTTGTTGTCAAACACCTCTGCCGTTGCACCTGTCACACCGCGCACGAGCACATGTGCACACGAGCAGGGGACGTGAGCGGACACAACAAAGGACATGAGATGGTGAAACCAAGGTAAGAAATGAGATCCATCTTCATGTTGCAGGCGCGTGAGTGTTGTGTGATGTGTGTGTTGCGTGTGTTGCGCGTCGTGTGTCCTGTGTCGTGCGTGTGTTGGTTTACTTCGCTTGAGAAGGAATTCCAGAATGCCCACACGTCCAAGGAGAGCAGCGATATGCAACGGCTGCATCAAACACACACATGCACACATCCGTCATGGTGAGGTATTATCACAAAATAAATTGGCCCAGCGTACAGATGTACGCACAAACAAGAAAAATGCACACAAACAAACAAGCAAAGAAACAGACAGACAGATACACACACACGCACACAGACACACAAACAAGCAAAGAAACAGACAGGCAGATACACACACGCACACAGACAAACACAGACAAACATGCTTACAAACACAGACAAACACTAACATGCTTACACACACACACACACACACACACACACACACACACACACACACACACACACACACACACAAACAGTGCTTACAAACACACACACCGACACACCGACACACACCGTTCTGTCTGCTGCGTCGCGCAATAGGGCGACGTCGCTGACGGGTTTGCACCTGTAGCACGTGCACAGCGGGTGGCACCCGGTCGACCCAAGCCGCTCGCTCCGTTTGACAGACGACGACGACGACGGCGATGATGATGACGACGATGATGATGGCCGTGCTGTTGCGTCATGGTCACGCGGCGTTGCGTCATGGTCACGGCCCTGTGTTGCATCCTTGATGCTTGCTGCTGTTTCTGTTGCTGCTGTTTCTGTTGCTGCTGCTGTTCCGTTTGCTGTTGTTGCCGTTGCTGTTGCTGCTGGTGTTGCGGATGCGAGGTGCTGCTTGACGGCGTCGAGGTCGTCGTCCACCACCGCCCGGAACAGCGGCGCAATCGCTGCGTCCCCTGGGAAGCGGACAAGCGTGACACATGCGCACATGAGTGGTGTGAGTGGTAGGTGTAAGTGCGTGCGTGCGTGTGTGCGTGTGTGTGCAGGTGTGAATATGGGTTTGTGCGTGAAATTGTACGTGTGTGCGTGAAATTGTACGTGTGTGCCTGCGCGTGTATGTGTGCACGCCAACACCAGCACCAGCGCCAACAAAACGGCACGCGTGCCCCGGTTCATGTGCACCTTCGCCTGGGATCCACGTGAAGTATTTGTCGTCGGCAATGTCGATTTGCGACACGTGCGACACCGCCGCCTCCAGACTCGTCTGCACACGTGTGTGTGTGTGTGTGTGTGTGTGTGTGTGTGTGTGTGTGTGTGTGTGTGTGTGTGTGTGTGTGTGTGTGTGTGTGTGCGTGCGTGCGTGTGTGTGTTTGGAGTACGTGGGCGCATGCGCCAATGCAAAAGTGTGTGTGTGTGTGAGGATGGGTCTGAGCTGCACGTCACAGTTGCGCTGCCGTTGATGCGGTCACAATGACCATAAAGCAGCAGCCACAGCAGCCACAGCAGCAGCAGCAGCAGCAGCCACGAACCAGGTAGTAGGACTCCTCTTCCGTGAGCGTGTTGCTCAGCCCCGTCATCTGCACAGCAGCAGGCGGTGGTTCGGATGAGGACATGTGGGCCACAAACAGAGCACGAAATGTCGCACGCGTGAGCAGGAGCACAAACACACACGCACACGCACACGCACACACACGCACATACACGGGAGTCACCTCTGCGAGGAATGCGAGGTACGCGTGCCAGTGGGAAACCTCCGATCGAATCACGACAATGCCTGCAGGCAACAACGGCGCGGTATCAGCTCACGTGCGAACGGCTCCAATATGTTTCCCAACCACTCCAAATCACCCACACACCCACACACCCACACACCCACACACACACACACACACACACACATACACACACACACACACACTCTCTCTCTGTCTCTCTCTGTCTCTCTCTGTCTCTCTCTGTCTCCCTCCAACGCCAGCAGCCGCTGAGCTAAGCAGCATCAGCGTACAGAGTGCTGTAACGAGGTCGTCGGCGGCGAGCGGGGTGGAGGGTGAGGCCGAGGTGACCAGCACATGCACCGCGTGCTGCAGTGACTGGAGCTTCTGCAGCGGCGTCCGCGCAGCCGCAACCCCACGCAGCGTCTTGCACAGGACGAGATGGAAGGGCGGGGAGGAGGGTGGGGTAGGGTGATATCGATGGTGTTGGATCGAGGGGAAGGGGGGGGGCGATGAGGTCATGGGGTAAGAAAGGGTGATGGTAGTGAATGATCGTGTTTGGGTGACCGTTGATGACAGAGAGCGCATGGGTTGCGAGGTAGGTGCTCACACACTAAATAGCATGGCAGGGGCGGTGTCAGCGGTGTTGGTTGATTCGGCACCTTGACGGCATCGTTTGCGGCGCGTGTGAATTCGGGCGCCAGTCCAAGCAGGGACGGCTGTGGACATGAATTGCATGTATATGTATGAGTGAGTGTGAGTGTGGGTGTGTGTGCGTGTATGTACGCGCAAGAGAAAGAGGCGACGGTGAGTGAGGAGCTACTTCAAATTTTATGTGCGTGCGTGTGTGCGTGTGTGCGTGCGTGTGCGTGTGTGTATCGCATTGCTGTTCCATCGGACCTCGGCGGTGGCCAAATTGCGGCAGGCCTTGTTCAGCACAATATCCTAACACGCGACCAAACCAGAGTATTGCGTCAATTCGGGGAAGGTGAGCCAGTGAAAATATGACATGCGGAGGCAAGCGCAGCACGTACGCGTGTATGACGATGGAGAAATGTGGGTGTGGCGCACATACACGCTCACAGATATGCCCACATACACGCTCACACATACCTGTTGTGCGCACTCCTCTGCAAAGAACGGCAGCATCAGGTCATACACGCGGGCCAGTAAGATGCTGCCATGAACGCGTTGTGTGTGCGTGTGTTTTGCATATGTGAGTTGAGCTGATGCAGTCATGCCAAGTAAGCAAGCAAGCAGCAAACAAGCAAGCAAACAATCAATCAAGCAAACAAGCAAGCAAGCAGGCAAGCAATCAATCAATCAATCAATCAATCAAGCAAGCAAGCAAGCAAGCAAGCAAGTAAGCAAGCAAACAAACGCACACACACACACACACACACACACGCATGCACAATACACCACCACCACCACCACCACCACCGGGGCGACGGACGTTTCGAGGGCAAGTTTGATGTTGGCTGCATCCTGCTGACTGCGGCGCCAGCGCTTGCGGAGGGCGGAGTCGCGCTGTGCCAGGCGCACGAGATCCGAGAACGCAGCGTGCACGCGCTCCTAAGCAGGGAGATGAGTTGTACGTGTACAGTTTGGAGGTGGAGGGTGCGGGTATTGTGTCGTGGGATGAGCGGTATGCATGTGGAAGCTTGGCGATGGACAATAATGCACGGTGAAGGCGGAGCACACACACACATACAAACGCACGCAATGACGTGCTGTGCAATAGCATACGGGCACGGGCATATACACACACGCACACAAACACAGACACACAGACACACAGACACACAGACACACAGACACACAGGCACACACACAAACACACACAGACACACGCACGCACGCGTACAAACGCACATACACAGCACATCCAACCAACCGTGGCCTCTGCGGCGGAGGAGGCTTGCTTGATGGCGGTGCAGACAGCGTTCATCCGAGCCTCTGCCCGCGGGCCAAACTTGCGGCCTTGATGCACGGATACAGCGCACACGAGCAACGTACGCCAGCAAAGTACACGTCAGCAAGCAAGAAGAGCAGGCAACCAACATGGGTGGAGGAGCGGTGGCAGGGGCAGTGCCTTCAACAACTTCTAGCCCCAGCTGTGTCCGTGGTGGCCACTGTGATTACCTGGCACATCGACGAGTAAGCTGATGCATTCGTCGTATGACTTGAGTGGTGCTGCTGCCTTGACCGTGGCAATCGCTGTCAACACACGCATGCCATTGCGCAATTGTGTGTGTGTGTGAGCGAGCGAGTGAGTGAGTGAGTGAGTGAGTGAGTGAGTGAGTGAGTGAGTGAATGAGTGAGTGAGTGAGTGAGTGAGTGAGCATGATGAATACAGCAGATCAGACCACGTGCAGGGCAAAAGGCGCAAGCGAGCAAGCAAGCAAACAAGCAAACAAACAAGCAAGCAAGCAAGCAAGAAAGCAAACAAGCAAGAAAGAGAGGAAGCAAGAAAGAGAGGAAGCAAGAAAGAGAGGAAGGAGCTGCATTGGACGTTATCAACAAGACCTCAAGCGACCAAGACATCCACTCACATCCAGAGAGGGGTTGATCGATGCAGTTGACAACAAACGCCTTGTCGTCATCTGTGTAGAAGGTTTCATCGAAGAGGATGGTGCAAGTGCGCTTCGTTCTGCCACTGGCGTCCAGGACGTGAAGCTGCTTGCCCTCCACGCGGACTGAGATGAGGTCATTTGAGAGCATGGTATGTGTTCGCGCGGCTCCTTCTGCTGTTGTGGCGCTTGCTTCAGATGTCTGCGTGGGCGTGTCTCGGAGTATGTGGGCTGCCAAATCTCTCCCTGACAGCTTGTCCATGTGAAAGCTCCCTGTTCGTGGCACAAACACCTTCGTGTAGCACAAGAAAAAAAAAAAAGCGAGGAGGAGACAAGGAAACCAAGGCGATGCAAAAGTAAGAACCAATGCAAGTGAGGGAGTGGGAGCATGCTCTAAGCGGATGGTGTTCCGCACACTTGGCATCAAGCACAGACACAACCAGCACACATTCGCAAAGGAATAATGATGCAAACATACAGACAGGCAGACAGCCCGACAGGCAGACACAAACAACCACATGAACACACAAACCACACCCCACAACTAAATCACTCACGTGAGTTTTGGGGTCTACAAACTGGCGTGCATGTGATGCCTTGAGGGCGGCAAACACCGCGTTGGTGTGCAGGTCCTCATCATACGACATCCCAGCAGCAAGCAAGCGGAGCGAGGGCGCGACGATGTGTCTTGTGTGGGCTGGTTCTTGGGTTGTTGTTGTGTTGGGAATGCACTGAGGTGTTGTGTGACTGATTTCAGTCGATAGAACTGATTTCAGTCTTTACCACCACACCTTGCCCCAACACACGTGTGTTTCCTTCCTCCTTCTTGCCACACACACACACACAGACACACACACACAGACACACACACAGACACACACACACACACACACACACACACACACACACACACACACACACACACACACACACACACACACACACACACACACACACACACACACACACACACACACAGAGCGCGATGGGGGATGAGGATGACACGCAGCTGCTGGCTGCTGCAGGCGCAGTGCTGGCAGAGGTGCGGGAATCAGCAAAGAAGAAGAAGCAGCAGAACGCAAAGGATCGAGCAGCAAACAGGAAGGAGGGAAAGCGGAAGAAGGAGGACAAGGAGAAGGACAAAGCAAGGAGGAGAAGCAAGAAGAGCGGCAGTAACACAGGGCAGGGAGCAGCAGATGGAGATGTGGATGGAGAGGCCGAGGCCGCTGGTGATGGCGAACAGCCAACAAAGCAAGCAAAGGTGCAGGATGCAAGCGACCTTGGCGGTAGCAGTGCTGCGCAGGCGAGCGAGGCGGCCGACAGCAAGAAGATGATGAAGAAGAAGAAAAAGAAGAAGGAGAAGAAGGAGAAGAAGCATAAGCTGAAGGAGGGGAGCAAGGCGGCAGAGGATACGTCAACAAATGAGACAGCGCTGGCAATGAAATCAGCTTCAGCAACCGCCACTGCCGAGGACGCTACAGAGCAGAAGACGGAAGAAGAGCAGCAGCAGCACCACCACCAAAACAACAACAAGAAGAAGAAGAAGAAGGAGAAGCAGGGCAAGAGCGGCAGTCATGAGCAGGAGTGGCAGCCACGCAAGCAGAAAACGATGATGCAGCGAAACACGGGTGGCCTGGTGCACTGGCTGGACCACCCTGTGCGGGTGGATGCGTTGATCAAGCCAGACGAGCTGCTGCCGATGGAGACGCTGGGGCTGCACCCGCGACTTTTGGCGCAGCTGAAAGTGGCCGGGTTCTCGCGCCTGTTCCCCGTGCAGGCGGTGATTGTGCCAGACATGCTTCGCTCCCGCCACAGCGCATATCCAGCAGGCGACATCTGCGTAAGCGCACCGACTGGCAGCGGCAAGACGCTTGCGTATGTGATCCCAATTCTGCAGCGGCTGTGCACGCGTGTCGTGCCGCAGCTTCGGGCGGTGGTCGTGCTGCCGACGCGGCAGCTTGTGCAGCAGGTGCACGCGGTCTTCGAGGCGTGCTCGCGCAACATCCACGCGGACTCGACCGTGCCCATCCGCGTGGCCATGTGCGCGGGGCAGACGGCGCTGTGGAAGGAGCAGCAGCTGCTGCAGCCGCGGCTGGACGGATCGAGTGCCGTGGACATTGTCATCACCACGCCGGGCCGTCTCGTCGACCACATCGATCGCACAGGTGCAGCGAGCTCGGCGAGTTGTGTTGTGTTGTGTTGCGTGTATGATTGTGTTGTGTTGTGGTGTTTGTGTGATTGTGGTGTGTTGTGTTGTGTTGTGCAGTGGTGTGTGTGTAGGATTGTGTTGTGTTGTGGTGTTTGTGTGATTGTGGTGTGTTGTGTTGTGAATGTGTGTAGATGTACACCTTTGCAGCGTGTGCTTTGCTGCACTGTCATCCACTGTGTCAGTGCCCAAGAAGCAGCGCCTCAACCCTGAGCAGCCATTGCTCTGCAGCGTTGTCGAACACGACCAAGCCCTGTCCAGTTGACGTGTCTCGCTTTTTCCGTTTCCTCCTCTCACCACCACCACCATCATCACCACCACCACCATCACCACCACCCATCGGCATCCACGTGCACGCTGCCATCCAATGACGCGAGCAGATGGGTTTACGCTGCAACACGTGGAGTTTCTCGTTGTGGACGAGGCTGATCGTCTTCTGATGCAATCGTACCAGTCGTGGCTCTCCAAGTTGCACAACTGCCTCTTTGCCGGTGGGCGCCCAGACCCAACAAACCTCACCCCGCAAATGTACGCTTTGATGCGCGCTGCGTGTGCGTTTGCGCGTGTGTGCGTGTGTGTGGTATTTGTTTGCAATGAATTTGAAGGGTGTCGTGGTACCATAGCCTGCTTGCGACAGCCGCGTGTAAACTGGCTCACACACACACACACACACACACACACACACACACACACACGCACACACACACACACACACACTCACACACACACACTCTCACACACACACACACACATCCCACATATCCCCCACACCACTGCGCGCAGCCACAACTTCCCTGGCGTGCACGTGCAGAAGATGTTTTTCTCAGCAACGCTGTCTCGCGATCCGCAGATTATCGCAAATCTTCGTCTTTGCTTCCCGCGCATGTACCTCGCAACACAGACAGGTCAGGCGGTGGTGTGTGTGTGTGGTGTGTGTGTGTGTGGTGTTGCGTGTGTGGTGTGTGCATGTGGTGGTGTGTGGTGTGTGCGTGTGGTGGTGTGTGATGTGTGCACGTGATGTGCGCGCGTATGTGCGTGTTTTGTGCGTGTGTATGTGTTAGTGTTCATTGCTCACACCATCGTCCTCTCCCTCCTTGTGTGTGTGCAGTTGGCGGGAAGAAGGGCGTGAACACGGTTATTCCGCCACAACTCCACGAGCACTCCATCGTCTGCTCAGCATCAGAAAAGGTGACAGTTGCCTACACCCATATGTGCACGCATGAATGCACGTGCACCTGCACAAACACACTCGTGTGCGTACACGTGTGCACACGCTTGCACTGTTGGAAACCCCTGCCTTTGACAATGAAGGAACAAACAGCGGAAGAATTGAACCCATTCCACTGCTCACCCCGTTACTCGTGGTGCCATGTCTGTGCAGCCGCTGGTGCTTCTGTATCTGCTGTCGAGTTTACAAATGGACCGAACTCTCGTCTTTGCATCGTCTGTCGAAACGACAACAAGGTCTCGCAATCACAGTGCTCTGGCGCTGTGGGGTGTGTGTTGGTGCATGCGTTTGCGTCAATGTGTGTGTGTGTGTGTGCGTGCGTACATGTGTTTGCCGTCAGTAACACAAGCGGTACATCATCATCGCCAACACACTGCTGTCATCATCTTGACACCGCTCTCACCGCTCACCACGACGGCTACAGGCTGTACACGCTGCTGAAGCTGTTTGGTGCTGTTCGCGTGCAGCAAATCTCGTCAAAGCAGGACGCGCGCAAGAGCTCAGGCATCCTCAAGAAGGTGCGCAACACAGAGAGAGAGAGAGGGGGGGGGGTGGATGTGGTTGTGTGTGGATGTGGTTGCGTGTGGATGTGGTTGTGTGTGGATGATGCTGTGTGTGTGTGTGCGTTCGTGTGTGGATGATGCCGTGAGCGGCTTGGATGCACATGCGTATGTTTATTTGTGTGTGTGTATGTATCACTCACTCACTCACTCACCGCAACCGCCATCTCATGCTCCATTTGCATGTGTGCACGTGGGTGCAGTTTGAGCGTGGGGAGATATCTGTGCTTGTGTGTTCAGACACGATGGCCCGCGGTATTGATCTCGCAAACGTCGAAAACGTCATCTGTTACGACTGCCCCTCAAAGCCAAAGACATACATCCACAGGTGCGTTGTGTGTGTGTGTGTGTGCGTGTGTGTGTGCGTGCGTGTGTTTGCTTGGGTATGGTTGTGCGGTTCGTCAGTGAGTGCTTGCCAGTGTGTTTGTAGCATGTCTTGTGTTCAGTTGCGCGCTGCGAGCTGAATCTGCGTGCACGTGCATACACACGCACACACACATTCACACACACACACACACACACACACACACACACACACACACACACACACACACACACACACACACACACACCACCACCACCACCACCACCACCACCACCACCACCACCACCACCACCTCTTCAGCTTGGGCGGTTCCGGCGGCTGCGTCGAATGATTGACGCAAAGACGGTGGATCGCATGGATGTGCGCCCCGACGACTTTGCCGAACACATGGACAGATACGAGCTCGCCCTCCAGGAACTTGCCGCAGTTTACAACAAGGTGCATATTGTGTGTGCGTGGTTGTGGATTTGTGTGTGTGTGTGTGTGGATGTGTGTATTGTGGTGTGTGTGTATGTGTGTATGTGTGTGTGGATGTGTGTATGTGTGGATGTATGCCTTGTGCTACGCACATAGTTAGCCTTTGTTGTTCTTGCCTTCCTCACCGCAACCACCCATCCACCACCCATTCACCATCCATTCACCCCACCACCACCACCCAATTGCAACCGCTGCAGAAGCCGACAGCTGAGGAGGACGGGGAGTACGAGGCGGCGCACGTGCTTGAGCGGCAGCTGGTGCGCGCGCTGAATGTGCCGGGCGCCGGCGCAGTGCTGCGGCAGAGGCGAGAGGAGGAGCAGGAAGCTGAGGAGGGGGATGGTGATGGTGATGGTGATGATGGTGATGGTGAGGAGGATGAGAAGAAGGAGAAGGGAGTGGAGGGAAAGAAGGAGGAGAGGAAGAAGCAATGATGCGTACACGTGACGCTGCACACGTGTGTGCATTGTGTGTGTACATTGTGTGCATGCATTGTCTTCGCGGCCGTGCGAGTGTGTTGTTTGTGTGGAATGCAAAGAATCTGACGCAATCAAATCCACTGCACTCACACATCAAGCAATCAAGCAATCAAACAAGTCAAGCAAGCAGAAGAAAAAAAAAACAAAAGAAACAAAGGCGCACAAACCGAAGCAACAGGTGAGGCATGATGATGATGATGATGATGATGACGGTTGTGGTCGTGGGGTGGGTTGGCGAGGTGGGTTGGTCGGTTCGGAACCTCAAGCGCCAGCAGTGTGTAGTGAGTGGCTGAGGTGGGTGGGGAATGGGGAACCAAGCCGGCGAACGAACCAACAAACCGAGCCAACCAACGAACCAACCTTACTCAAGCAAGCGTGTTGTTGATTCGGCGTTGTTGCTGGCTGCTGTTCTCAACGAACACAACGAGCACAACAGCGGCCGAACGTTGTGTTCGGGTTGCGTCATTGCACCACCACACCACCATCCACCTGATCACCATCACCATCCACCTGATCACCATCACATCATCAGCACACACAAGAACGAACACGCAGTTCCGCATTTCCGCGCCTTCCCCTCCACCTCTTCAACACCACCACATCCTTGTGTCCAGTGTGCTTCGTACACGACCACTATCATCACCACCATCACCACCATCACCACCATCTGCTTCTTCTTCATCGCGAGTTCAGTGTGACATATTCATTTCCCTGCCACCGCCACCGCCATCACTTCGCTCGTCTACCTCCCTTCAGTGACCGGATAAGCCAAGCTCTTCGAACCCCGCTTCCCTTCCCTTTCCATCCAACGCCAATCATGAGCGAGTGAGTGAGTTCCGGGCAAGTTGGAGGCTGCTCTGCGTGTCGCTGGTGCATATCTCGTTTGCGTATGGCGTGCTTGCACCCACACCCACTTGCATCCTCACACCCTTACTTGTAAGCTCGCAACCTCGCTTGCATCCTCACACCCACATGAGCGGCCCCTAACACACTCTCCCATCCACACTCACGCATTGCACTCGCAGAGAAACCAAGATGCACCGCACGCCAAGCATGGACAGCTTGGTCGACTTCAAGCAGGACACTCCCGAGAGCCTCGTGCAGTCGATGGAGGCCGAGCTTGCCAAGATCAAGGGCGCCACCAAGGTAGGCAAGCGCTGCCACGCGCACAACTCGATGGCCAACACCTTGCGCGCCGCCCTTTCGGAAGCCGTGTGCCTGTACACTAGCTTGCTAGCCGCAGTCGCGCGCGCCCGTGTGTGTTTGTGTGTTTGTGTTTGTGTGCATCGCGTATGCGTGTGTGAAGCCGCATCTGCAGTAGACATGCATTACAGACAGACACACACGCCAGGGTGCTAGTCCACCAAGGAGTAGACTGGCCCCATCCCCACTGGCAACGGTGGCATCAGTTTCTGCCGCTGTGCGGCCGTGATGGCTGGACTCATACTCACGCGCGCGCATTTGTGATTGCCTGCACACTTGCTTCGCCGTTGTTGCCTTGCTTGATCGCCACCCGCACCCACATCTCCATCACGCACACGCACCATGCACGCGTTCACGCTGTGTTGTTGTGCTGTGGTGATGCTCCCCATGATGTGCTGCGTCGTGTGCCGCGACGCCATGGTTCTGTTCGTGACGTGCGTTATCTCCTCCTCGTTGCCTTCCTTCTTCCTTTCTTCCTCTTCTTCATTTCTCTCTCTCTCTCTCTACTTCCATGTCTCTCGATGCCACCTCCATACCGCCATCACGTTCGCACCGAAGCAGGAGTTGATTGTGAACAACGACCAGTTCAAGGCGCTGTTTGAGCAGTATCTCGAGGAGCGCGGCTCCAAGATTGAGTGGTCCAAGATCAAGCCCCCAGCAGAGGGCGCGGTGCGTTGACTCACATGCACATCACACATCACATGTCACATCACACGCACCACACATTGCATTGTATTGCATACCATGTCACATGATTTGTACGTGTAGCTTCCTGTGCTGTTTCGTTGGCGCCTTGCAGCTCCAAGCATTCCTATCACTGTCCCCAAACAGCAGCACTTCAAACAAGTTCACCCCCCCCCCCTCTCCTCAACTCTTGTCATCGTCATCTCACCCTCCTCCCTCCCCCCTCCTCGCGCCGCCATTGCAGATCATTGACTACTCGAGCATCGACGACACCCCTGCCTGCGCCGAGTCCCTGAGCAAGCTCGCTGTGCTGAAGCTGAACGGCGGCCTGGGCACCACCATGGGCTGCGTCGGCCCCAAGAGCGCCATCCCCGTCCGCAACGAGGCAACATTCCTCGACCTCTGCGTCAAGCAGATTGAGGTGCGCTACAATTTGCACATGCACGTGCGCGCTGGCGTGTTTGCCTGCTTGTGCATGCGCGAGCGCAAGCGCTGGCGTGCACATCTCGCGTCACCTGCCACATCACTTCTTGTACTTGGATCTTGTCCAGACAACTTTACACGACATCAGCTCACATATGTGTACTATTCGCATGCCTGGTCCCCACCTGTCGTGTTTCTGCGCGTCCATCACCATGACGCCACCGCACCTGTAGCACCTCAACTCCGCCCACAGCGTGAGTGTGCCGCTCGTGCTCATGAACTCGTTCAACACGAACAGCGACACCCGCAAGATCCTGCGCAAGTACGGCAAGACCAAGTGCGACATCCTCACCTTTAACCAGGTATGCTGTTCGCCCTTGCGCCCTTGCGCGCGCGCGCGCGCGTGTGTGTGTGTGTGTGTGTGTGTGTGTGTGTGTGTGTGTGTGTGTGTGTGTGTGTGTGTGTGTGTGTGTGTGTGTGTGTGTGTGTGTGTCGTGTGTGCCTCGCTTTCCCCTCCTCATCATCCCCTCCTCCTCACTCCATACCCCCAACACCCCACTGCCATCGCCAGAGCCAATATCCGCGCATCCTCAAGGAGACGCTGCAGCCGCTGCCGGCAGACACCTCCAACCGCTCAGAGTGGTCCGTGTTCACACGCGTGTCGCTTTGGTTGCCTGTGCATGCATGTGTGCGTGTGCGAATGATTGTGTGGAGACAGATACTCGCACTCTCCCCTCCTCCTCGTCCATATGTACGCACACACCTCACCACATCACGACCACCACCACGACCACCGTGACCGCTGCCTCGACTGCTGCAGGTACCCCCCTGGCCACGGCGACCTCTACCGCTCTCTCGTCTCGTCCGGGATGCTCAAAAAGCTGCTCGACATGGTCCGTTCGCAAGAACGCTTGGCCCTGTGCTGCTGCTGCTGTGTGTATGTATGTGTTTAAGTGTTTATTTGTGCATGTATGTGTTTATGTGTGGTTTCTGTTCAGCTCATTCAACCTGCTTTGACTGTGCCCTGCCCCTTCCCACTTTGATCACCACCACTTGCTTGCCATCCATTTTTCCCACTCACACAACCCTCGTCCCACATGTGCTGTGCCAACTGCAGGGCAAGGAGTGGCTGTTTGTGTCCAACATTGACAATCTCGGCGCTGTTGTCGACACGACCATCCTCAACTATCTCGTCTCCGAGAACCCGGAATGCGAGTTTGTCATGGAGGTCACCGACAAGACCCGCGCCGACGTCAAGGTGTGCGTGATGTGTGTGTGTGTGTGTGTGTGTGTGTGTGTTTGTGTGTGTATGCGCGCGCGTGTGTATTTGTGTGTGTATGCGCGTGTGTGCGCGCGTGTATTTGTGAGTATTTGTGTTTTGATGCAATTTGTGTTGCTCCCATTTCCTGTCTTCTGCAGCGTTCTTCTCACTCACTCCATTCACCACCACCACCACTCATTCCCATTTACCACCACCACGCATTCTCATTCACCACCATTACCGCCACCGCCGCCGCCACCAGGGTGGCACCCTTATCGACTACGAGGGAACAACTCGCCTCCTTGAGGTGGCACAGGTCCCCAAGTCCCACGTGAGTTTCGAATGCAATCATGTGTTGTCTTGTTGTTGATGTGGTTGTTGTTGTCGCTGTTGCATACTAGTGTCGTGCTGTGCCCCCACTCCCTCCACCTCACGCCACCACCCATGTCACCTTTTGCGTGCGCACGCGCGTCTCTCACTGCAGCTTGAGGAGTTCAAGAGCGTGCACAAGTTCCGTGTGTTCAACACGAACAATCTGTGGATCAACCTGCGTGCTGTTGATCGCCTCATGCGTCGGGGTAACATGCACATGGAGATTATCGAAAACAAGAAGGTGATGCCGCTCATGGTGTGGCTGTTTGGTGCTATTGATGATGATGTTGATGATAATCGTGTGATGCTGTTGCATGCGTTGCAACAATGGAGATGTTGTTGATCTTGCCGCAACCTCCATGCTTACCTCCGAAATGTGCGCGCGTGTGTGTTTTCATGTGTGTGTGTGTGTGTGCAGGTGCTTGACGACGGGCGCGGCGTGATTCAGCTCGAGCAGGCCGTTGGCGCCGCCATCAAGAACTTTAACAACGCCATCGGTACAGTCCTTCGCCATGCGCATGCGTGTGTATGTGTATGTGTATGTGTATGTGTATGTGTATGTGTATGTGTATGTGTATGTGTATGTGTATGTGTATGTGCGTGTGTATGTGTATGTGTATGTGTATGTGTATGTGTATGTGTATGTGTATGTGTGTGTGTATGTGTCCACAGTCGTGCATCTGTTCATCTTTTAGCACATCACTTTGCTCATCACTTTGCTCGCCATGGTCTGCTCACCATGTGCCCAATACCCGCCGTGGCGGTTCACATGTGTGTGTCCCAATCCAACAGGCATTAACGTGCCGCGTTCGCGTTTCCTCCCCGTCAAGAAGACATCCGACCTCCTCCTGGTGCGCTGTTGTGTGCTCTCCCTCCTCCCTCCCTGCGCACAGCCATCGCCTGCAACACATGTTTGCGCGTGCCTTGCAGCCACGCCGACCTTGCGTCACATCACATCGTGCCCAAGCCTCACTCCTCACACAATTCACCGCCCTTTCAACCTTCCACACGCGCCTTGCACACGCTCCGCATTCCATCCCCCACACCCCTGCATATGCATTCAGGTGATGTCGAACCTGTATCGCCTGCACCACGGGCGCCTCTCCATGAGCCCCGACCGCACATTCAAGAACGTGCCGCTCGTCAAGCTCGGCGATGAGCACTTCAAGAAAGTCAAGGTGCGCACACATGCTTGCTGTCACGCTGTCACGCTGTCACGCTGTCGTGCTGTCTGTGATGTGGATGGTGGTGAGAGGTTAAGCGTGGCAAATGCTGCCATCAGCAAGGAGCGAGTGCTCACATGTATGTGTATGTATGTGTTTTATGGCGCAGGAGTTCCTGAAGCGGTTTGAGGACATTCCGGATGTGCTTGAGCTGGACCATCTCACCGTCTCTGGCGACGTCCACTTTGGCAAGAACGTCTCCCTCAGGGTACGCCACAACCACAACACACGTGCACATGTGCATGTGCATGTACTTGTTGTGCAAGGACAAGTTTGTGCTCTCTGCATGCCTGCGTTACAAGACCAGCCTGTGCTTGTCCACAACAAGCAAGGCTCGTCTCCTACACCACCACGTGCATTGTGTTGCTCAACCCTAATGCCTCCTCCCCTTCCCCTTCCCTTTATCCCTCACCTTCACAGGGCACCGTGATCATCATTGCAAACGAGGGTGACCGGATCGACATCCCCAGCGGCGCCATCTTGGAGAACAAGATCGTGTCTGGAAACCTTCGCATCCTCGACCACTGATGACTGGTTGAAGGCTGCACCACAGCCACCATCACCATCACCACCATTGCCAGCGTTGGTCTTGTGGTTGTGTGGGGCTGTTGGTGATGCTTGTGGCGCGGGCGATTGTTCACCCCCGCCCTGCCACACAGGCTATGCGTTTCGTGACTCTTTGGTTCTTTCACTGGATCACGCTTGCCTGCATGCATCACGCCTCCTTCACGTAATATGTCATGTTGTTGTGTGTTGGATGTCTTGTTATGGCTTTGCTGCAAATGCCCCTTCCCCCCTCCGCTTTGCATGCAGCAGGCGTGTGCTGATGGTGCTACAGCTTGAGGTGGTTGCGGTACTTGCGTGTTTGTTTGTGTTGCATCACAATCCACCCGTTGCGCAGTGTGTTGGTCGTTGTTGTCAACAATACACACGTTCAACAGCATCGTTTATCAGTCAGTGCAACAAGTCATAATCAACAAACGGCAGACACAAACGAGCAAAGCAAAGCAGGACCACAACACAAACACCGCGCTGGTGTAGAAATGTGCATGCGCAAATGTTGTCATGGGGGTTTTAGTCCGTCTTCTTGTTCGCTGTTGTCTTGTTGGTCTTCGTTGCTGTTGCAGCACCACCTGCTGCCTGCTTGCTTGGTTTCCCGCTCCACATCAGACGCACGTCTTGCACAAACGCGCCCTCCTGTCAAGACATTGGATCATGTGAGCGATGCATGTGTGTGCATGTGTGTGCATGTGTGTGTGTGCGCGCGCGGTGTGTGTACATGTGTGTGTGTGCATGTGTGTGGACATGTGAGCGATGTTGTGGCGTGTGTGTTTGTGTGCGTGTATGTATGTGTGCATGTGTGTTTGTGTGTGTGTGTGTGCATATGTGTGTGTGTGCGCATGTGTGTGTACATGTGTGTTGTGTGTTTTCACTTTCACCTCAAAGTAGACAGTGACGGCCACGAGAAAGAGGGAGGCGGCACCAACAGCGACGTGGACTGCAATCGCCTTCAGGTCCCACTGCAGCTCGGGCAAGAACAGCCGCTGATGTGCGGTCGTGGTGTGTGTGTGTGTGTTGTGTGTGTGTGTGTGTGTGTGTGTGTGTGAGTGAGTGAAGGCAATTGCGTGTGCGAGTGTGCGCACATCTGCGTTGTGCTGAGAGGCACAGAGACACACCACGCGCTGGCGAGCAGAGCACACTGACGACAGCAGCAGCAGCAGCAGCAGCAGCAGCAGCAGCAGCAATGACACGATGATCCACCAACCTCAGAGTAGGTTGTGACGACGTATGCGAGCGCAAACGCGAACAAAACGGCGCGCGAAGGGATGCAGGCGGTGAGAGGGTTGCCCTTGGCAGCAACACCCGGGTGGTGGCCAATGTACAGCCAGATGTCGTAGAAGGACTTGCTTGCACGCATCAGCATGTTGATGCAGTTGGCAAAGATGAACCCAACAGCACCTGCAGTGGTGAAGTGTGTGTGTGTGGGTGTTGGGGAGGGGGGAGTGAGATGAGCAGACATAAGCAAACGTGCAAGAGTGTTCATGTATGTGTGTGTGTGTCGGTGGTGGGCTGACCGAGCTTTGGGGTGAGGAAGAAGCATGCGATGATGTAGAGGGCGGAGAATGCGACCATCCAGCGGTTGTGCTCGTCAATCTCCTCACGCGACGACGACTGCAATGATGATGATGATGATGATGATGATGATGATGGCGCCGTGCATAGATGGTTTGATGAACGTTGCATACCAGCAAGTACGCACTGTGAACAGCGTTTGATCAACGTCGCATACCAACAAAATTTCGCAAACAACAACAGGTGCGGCCTTTGAAGCATTTGCAAACATGTGCACAATTGTGCGTGCTGTCCTCACCGCCGCCACGAAGCATTCCGAGATGCCATTGAGGGCCATGCAGAGGACATAGACGCTGTATGCCTGCAGCAGCAGCACCCCGTCGTCCTGTGCCAGGTTCTCCCCGCCGTAGATGCCGAGCAGCAGCCGCGAGTAGCCCTGGCCGAAGCACGCCAGCACCAGGCCAACCATCACAGCCGTCTTCAGCAGTGTCTGCAGCACTGTCCCGGCCAGCGCCTGAAGGGGCGGGGGAAGGGGTGAAGAGGGAGGGAGGTGGGTGTTACAGCCAAAACAGGTATGAGAGGACAAAGTGATTGTGTGTGTGTGTGCGTGCATGTGTGTGTGTGTGTGCGTGCATGTGTGTGTGTGTGTGCGTGCATGTGTGTGTGTGTGTGCGTGTGTGTGTGTGTGTGCGCGCGCGTGTGTGGTGTGGTGTAATCACCTCATCGTCTGCTGTTGTCTTCTTCGCGTATGGATCCTCTGTTGGTGGAAACGCATGGGGTGAGATGTGCTGGTGAATTGCTGGTCAGCCTGCATGGCACTCAAGACAGTGGTGTTGGAGTGACATGTGTGGCAGATGCAAGGCGTGGCACAGACAGGACTCACTGTCCGCTTTTGATGTCTCGCGGGTGAGGAGGGCGGCAAAGAACGTGTAGTAGTTCTCCTCAATCGGCTGTCAAAGTGTGTCAAGAACGAACGCAAACAAAGCAAGAGGCAGCTGTGAGAGGAGCAAGCGCACGCTGGCGATGGTGGTGCGCGGTAGTTGACGCGGTGTCAGCGGTGGGAATGAGCGGGTGCACGTGTGCTTCATCCTGTGCATGAAGCACGAACACGTACGCACAGACAGACAGACAGACAGACACACACAAGCAAACAAGCAAGCAAGCAAGCAAGCAAGCAAGCAAGCAAACAAGCAAGCAAGCAAGCAAACAAGCAAACAAACAAACAAACAAACAAACAAACAAACAAACAAACAAACAAACAAACAAACAAACAAACAAACAAACAAACAAACAAACACGCATCTACACTGACGTGAAAGAGGAAGCGCGGGACGAGGCTGCCGAGCGAGTACACGACATCATAAACGCCCTGCTGCGCAAACGAGAGCATGTTGCCAAAGGTCATCATGTACTTCTCGCCCTCTGTGAGCAGCTGCTTCACAATCCCGTGGCGGAAGAACGACAGGGCAAGGCTTGCCATGGATGGCGGGTAGTGCTTGAACCACCACGCCCCTGCCTGCGATGGTCCCGGGAGCATGTCACGGAGCGAAGTCACCTCCTTGTACACGCGGTGCTGTGCGTCTGTGCGCGCGCGTGTGACGAAGATGGCGAGGAGGAGTGTCTTCGTGAGCACGTGTGCTGCTGAAGGGACAAGCAGGCCAAGGTCTGGCCGCAGGTAGAGACCGACCATGGTGAGGACGGTGCCAAAGCCGAGCGACACGCCCTCTGCAATGATCTTCAGGCGCACGTTGAGCTGGATCTGATAGAAGATCCAGAACGGTTCCGCCATCACCTCAATCACCGCAGACGCAGCAAACGCAGCCACCCCTGCAGGGTACCACGCCATCTCAGGCTGGGGCAGGTGTGTGTGTGTGTGTGTGAGTGAGCGAGCGAGTGAGTGAGTGAGTGTGAGTGAGCGAGTGAGTGAATGAGTGAGTGAGTGTCTGCATGTTTGCGTGCTGCACAGAAGCAGCACATGGCGCAAGGCTGAATCAGCCCTGTGCGATGCGTGTGCACCTGTGTGAGAAGACGGGTCCAGACGAGCGAGAGCAGGCCTGCAATGCCCAGGGACGACAAGATCCTGTGCAGCAAGCATTGGGACAACGAACCAGCAGCATACGCAGCCTTTTAGTGAGTGATGGGCCGTTGGTGGCCAGAGGGGGGGGGGGTGTGCGATGAGGCACCTTGTGCCGAGAAGCTCAAGCACGGCGTGCGACGGGCAGGGTTGCTCTGCTGCACTGCTGCACTGCTGCTCACCCGATCCAGATGAGGTTGACGAGCTGTCGCCAGTATGGTCGGGACAGCTGGTTGAGGGAGACGCTGAGGCACGCCCGCCTCATTGGTTCTCGCGACAAGAACACAATCGTCGAATACAGCAACATCAGCCTGCACTTGCGCAAGCACAGTGGATGAGGGAGTATGTGTGTGTATGTGTGTGTGTGGGGTGGGGGAGAGGGGAGAGTACGTGTATGTGCGTGCATTGAGTCATTTGAGGTGTATGGATGCAAAAGCGTGTGCGCTGCACTGACGCACATCCACACAGACACACACACACAGACACACACACACACACACACACACACACACACACACACACACACACGTGCAGCGAGATGCAGCGCACTCACCGAACGTTGACGATGCCAAGCATCTCCTTGGATGCCACACGCACGATGACGGCATTACTGACGAAGCTGACGATGCGCAACAAGACCTGGCAGTGGCATGCGCGTGTGTGAGGGCGAGGGAGCCAGTGAGAGATCAACCCACCCACACACACCCACACACACCCACACACCCACACACACACACACACACCACACACCACACACACCACACACCCACACCCACACACACACACACACACACATACACACACGCACGCATAGACACATACACTCTCACACACATAAATTCAAGAGATTTGACATACACACGATCAACACACACATACCATGCTCAACACATTCCTTCTCAATTTTATTAATATAGGGACAGGGTGTGCGTCGCGCGGTCTACACCTAGGATGAGTCAGAAATTATGGGGGTGGGGGTGTGAAGGATATTCAGAGAGTGATACAAGACTTCCCAGAGAGGTTCGGATGGAAGCA